AGTGATAAGAAGTTGTGGCTTGCTGTCCCCGCTGGAACATGAGATCCTGGAGGATGGAAATGGCATTGTGTTCGTTTGGGCAGGTCCCGTATATCTGGCAAGCAGACAGGGCTCTACAGACATAGTGTGCATGGCTGGCTGCTGGCAACATGAGGGGATGCGTGGATGAGAGGAAGCAGTAAGGCCACAGAGCAAGCTTCCAGTACCAGAGTGCATTTTAGCTTCTATTGAGTCATGCAGTATTTAATTTTTTTCATCATTAAAGGATTTACTTCAAATTACTATCAAATAAGTTAATATATAATAAATATTATTGAGTTTATGAAATTATTTCCCATTGATGCAAACGTGTAGACCTTTACAAAATGATTTTCTAGAACCTTGTCTAGAGTAGGTTCCAAGTGTAGATGACATTTGAAGTGTAGGTTTCTACACTCTGCCTCTGCAGGATATGAGTCAGTAGTTTTTATAAAGAGCTTAGAAACCTGTATTTGGTAAGCTCATTTCTAGACTGTTAATTTTTTCCAAAGCAAAAACTATCATTTATTGTGTGTTTGTAAATTGTTTATTTTTAATCGTGTGTCCTTAACACTTTCATGCACATAGAGAATGCATGGCGGTTATCCCTTCCCACTCTTTCCTTCCTCCTTCCCATCCGTACCAACCCCTCCACCTTCCTATCAGCCCCTTCCTAGATTCCCGACTTTTGGTTTAGTTTTGTGATCCATCTATTTAACCAGGGCCATATGTGTGAACACTGAATTGAACTATCCATCTGAACCTGATGGAGTCCCCAGTGGATACACAGAAGAAGGCACTGCCTCGCACTCTCCCTGAATCTATCACTTACAAACAGTTCAGGCCCTCCTCTTTCCATGCTCGACAGTTGAGGGGCTGTTCTTGTGCAGACCCAGTGCAGGTATCCAAACCTCCTGTGAGTTGACGATTGCCATAGCTGTCTCGTCCAGAGGACAGCATCTTCCAGTCCTTCTCTGTCTTCCGGCTTTTACATTCATCCCCCTTACTCTTATGTAGTATTCCCTGAGTCTAAGAAGAGATGTTAGAAATCATGTGTTTAGGACTGAGCACTCATCCATCACTTATTCTCACTAAATAAAGCCCAATTGGTCTTAAAAAATATTTTAAATTGATTTCCAATTTTTAAATATTTATTTATTTAGTTAGTTTATATGTATGAGTGTTTTGCCTGCATGTGTATAAATGGTCAATGTGCATGAAATTCCTGTACAGGCCAGAAGAAGGCATTGAATCGTCCCAAATAAGCACAGTTGTTGGCCACCATGTGGTGCTGGGAAGCAGACCCAGGTCCCGAGAAGAGCAGCCAGTGCTTTTAATGGCTGAGCCATTTCTCCAGGCTCCCATTTCCAGATTTTAAAACTTGATCAATTCTCAAAATACCATATTTTGTTCCATCTCTCCTTAAAAAATTGTGAATGCTCCTGCAAACCTGGGGCTGGGCCCTTACATACTTGATCTTCTTGAGCTGGGCAGAATTTCCCCCTTCAGCCAGAAGTTTCCAAGACTCTCCAGAATGCAAGTGATTGCACACTTACCTGCCTGTTTGGCTATGTAGCTTTGAACAGACAGAATAAAGAAGGTGCCTCACATAAAATTCTTCTTTTTAAAGATTTCTGGCTAATGGGAGAATTATTGTCTTTGTTTATATGTTTGGGGAGTTTTTCCTTTGTTTTAATCAGCAATGGAGTCAGGTCTACTTTTTTTATTATATACACTTTTAAGTTAATTCATTTTAAATTGAATTTTTAATTTTCTTTTAAGTTAAAAAAATTTATTGAGAATTTCATACATGCCTATAAGGTGTTTTGATCAAATCCATGCCCACTACCTCCCCTCCAACATTCCCCCCTCTGAAGAGGTAACCCTAAAATCTTTTAAGGATTAAATACAAGCTCCCAAATACTTATGACATTTTTGGCCTTTGGAAGAGAGTATGCTGCTAATAGGCCCAAGGACATTTTGACTTTTAGCTCAGAAACTGGCTACATTTCTTTGGGGTCTTTTTACCCTAACTGCCTAGCCAATTCCTACCTCCTATTCTTATCA